CTGATAAATTTTATGTGAGATGTGGACATGGACTAGTGTTATTATAATCTGAAGACAGATTCAAATTATCTTGATTACTTTTTGAGTTATGGCCGAAATGAACATTTTTACTTGAACAGCCTATTAGTAACAATGTTTATTTGCAAAACACATCAAGCATAATTGATTTAGAATTGATTGGCGCTTTAACATTTACATGATTATGATTGTTATGATATTTAGTTTTAGCCTTATACAATTCTTTCAACATTTTGCTAATGTAAGGGCCACTATGATTGAGCTTGGACAGTTTGTCTACGCAATTGTTTATTTGGGCCGCAGTAATATCTGTACCCTGAAAACCGCCAAACGTGCCGTACATTTGCGACAAAATCTGCTCCTTTTCCGCTCCATAAGAGGTCAGCATCTGTTCGAGCCGTGCGGTTGTGTCCTCAATGTCGGCCCCAGTAGTCGTGGCGTATCGTTCGCTGGCCAAGAGCTGTAAGACGTAATCCTCGTAGACGTCGCCGACGGGTGTCAAAGCACTGTTGGCCATAAAACAGGCGAACAGTGCCATCGCTTTGGCGATCACAGCGCTCTCGGCCTCCAAAGCGGCCATCCGTTGGTCCAGTTTTCGGATCAGTTGGCGTTTCTTTTGGGCCGCGGTTTTGGTTGACTCAATCTGATTGCCAATAGTTTCGTCATAAATTTGGGTCACTTTTGTCTGCGTGTCGTATAACAGGTGCCGGTGTTTGGCGTAACTGTGTCCGCACTGACACACATCTGTCCCAACAAACAGCTTTGCTATATTTTTGGCTGACAGTAATCCAAATCTGATCAACCATAATGGTAATGATTCACCGGGTTTACGCAATAAGTCACGGTATGCGCCATCAGCCAGCAGATTACATACAAGCGAGCCCATTTTGCCCAAAATACCACCATCAGTAAATTGATTATAACTTGTTGACGGACAAAACATGTGGTAATGTTTTTTTGTTACGCCATTGGTTGAAACAGGTTTACAGCACTCGTCAGCCTCGCACACGGTCTTTGGTGTATCAAATGGTACGGATATTATCTCAACCGATGGTATGTATAGCTTATTGTTTAACTCTTCAATAGTTCCCGAAAACTCGTTGATCTCAACGCTATGTTCTTCGCATTGTTTAACGTTATCCGCGATATTCTTCAAGATGTCGGCCAACGGTTTGGTTAATAAATGTGTTATTTGTTTGGCGTTATTCACAGATATAGTATCAATTACTTTGTGTGCCGGCAGTTGTATTATGTGATGAAATAAACGCTTGCATTCCGTCACAGATCTAGTTTAATTACATAAACATTGTTGTTATATATAAAAGTATAGATATAATAATACTAGTTTTCATACCGGTCCCAACTCTCAACATAACTGGACTTATATTTCGGGTCAAACTGTATATTATTTGGCGGAACCGAAGCCACGAGATATCGAAAGGACTCGGAATCGAAACAATAGATTGTATTCTCGTCGTAAGGGATGTCAACGTTTGGCGGTTTTGTCTGTATTTTCTCTAAAACGCTCACTAATGCGGGTCCGGAATCTCCGGGCATATAGTCAGTGCTCCGGGAGTTTGTAAATAGGAATAATATATTATTTGCGGCGCTTTTATTTAAGTGAGTAAATAATTTATTTAAACAATATTTGAATACGACATCAACTCTTGCTTCATTTGGTTTTAAAAGCACACAAAAAGCATTAATTTCTTCATAATTGCTAATAAAATCTAATATGTTTTTCATATTACAATTATCCTTTTCTACACCATCCGTGTCCGCAATTCCCGGCGTATCAATAATATTGAGCACACTATTATTATTTTGAAATGTATAACATTTAGGGTATTGTGTTTGAGATTGAGTGATATGTTTAATGTTTTCATTTACATCGTGTTTACCGAGTCTTACTGTAATTGGTTTTTTAGTTTTTTGGTCCGGAATCGTAAAGCTTACGGGTATTAAACATATGGGTCGACCCATTGCCGCATCCATACTCTCAAAAAATAAATAATTCGCCAATGCGTTAATAAATGTGGACTTTCCCACACCTGACTCTCCCAACAATACTATTGTTATGATCGACTTCTATATAATATAGAAAAATAGAACAATTAAATTTATTTTTAAAAAAGTTATTTAAATGTTTTAAATCTTTTAATATTTTAATAAACAATTTTACATTTATCTATTATTTATTGTAATACCTGAATACTTATTTTGGATAGACCCTTCTCCATCCTGTGGCGGCAATTAATTTAATAATATAATTGTAGTGATGGCTATGAAATAGATTATACAATATATTTATTAATGTTCGGGTAACGATTATCTAATTAAACATATTAATTAGTTAAGATATGATGATGAACGGTTATAATAAATGTTTAAAATTGAAAATATAAAACATGCTCACCAAGGTTAAAAATAAAATAGTTTGATTATTATTATTTAGTTGCTATTGTGGTAATTTCATTTTCCATTTTTTAGTATTTCATTTATAGTAACATCTATCTTATAATATATAATGCAATAAAATGACTTAGAAGCCTTGTCTCATGCTAGATTTACCTAAGTACTCACTTTCCCACATATCATTTCAATTGCTTATATTATATTGTAATGTAATGCTAAAAATATATTAATTTTTACATTAAGTCGATGAGATTATTTCACATGATATAACAGGTGAACAAATCACTTCGATTTATTACTTTAACAATGTCTTAATATTTATTAGGTAATTTATTAATTTATTATTTGATAAATAAGCAGAGCTATTGTAAATTCGTAAGTATCGTATCATTTTAACTGTAATTATCATTAATTTAATATTTGAAAAACACATTTCTGCTGTTAAATTATTATATTGTTTTGTGTTGAAATTCAACACAATTAGATTAGATATGGGTATGAATAGTTCCTTAAACCTATAGGCGTCAAATGTAAAAGTAGAATTTTATTACTTAACATTTCGCTATACAAGGATTATATATAGCGATGCCATACGTAAACCACAATTCTGGTAGTGTTGATAAAATAGATTAGCATTATGTATAGATTTAATAAGAGTCTTATTGGCTTAACTTTGAAATAGACTTAGCATTGCCCACATAATTAGCATTAGTCTCAAAGACATGACATTACGTCCATATACATAGCATTACCTATTTTATCATTTATTATCAATAAGGTTCATTACGGGAGGGAAGATATATATTTTCTCTTATTTTTCCTCCCAAAAAATGGGAAAATCCCAAAAGATATAAATGGCATAAGAACTAAAATTCTCAAGGGAAAATATCTTTTTAAAAACTTGAAAATTTGCCACAATTACACAAAAATTTCATGAAAATTTTAAATTATTATTAAATCGAATCGCCTATTATTTAATTGTTTGTTGTGAGGCACGAACACTGGTACAGGCATTGGCACTCATACAACATATCATTGCCATTGAAT